GCATAAAGAACGTGTTGAGTGTTAGGAAAAGGACAGGGAAAGATGAGAGGAGTCAGGCTTTCCTCAAAGAGGGAACTCCTTGAAGAAGCATAGAGAGTGAGTGCAGATTAGGTGAGTTGAGTAGATTTTAGAGCATATCAGATCAAGGGTTGGCAATTTACTGGTTGTGATTATTAGTAGGATTGAGGGAAAGTCATGGTTGACTATATGCAGTTGGTATGCTAGTTTTTAAGGAAGTAGAATGGAGAGTGTTTAGAGAAGTTTTATTTAGGTTTTAAGTACACTTTTTAATTCATTTTATTTGTTTTTTTGAGACAAGGTTTTTCTCTGTAGTTCTGGCTGTCCTAGAACTCCTTCTATAGACAAGGGTGGCCTTAAACTCAGAGAACTGCCTGCCCCTGCCTTCAATGTTAGGATTAAAGGTGTGTGCTACCACACATGGCTTATAGTAACTGTACTTGGCTTAGTCTCTTTTGTGTTGCTGTAGCAAAATACTTGAGTTATTTTCTAGAGAGGAAATAGGTTTATTTGGCTCATAAATTTAGAGACTGAAAGTCCCAGCATCCTATGTAAATCACAACATAGTAAGTAATATTATGGCCTGAGTGTATGCTAGAGGAAGAGATTGAATGGTGGGACTGAAAACCAGAGAGCTGGAAAGAGCGCCTTTTGTAATTATCATGGAGTGCTTAAAATAGCGCAGTGGGAGCTGGAACTTCCATGGAGCAGCCTTGATTCATTTGTGAGGGCTGTCTAGGGCCTACAGATCCTCAGAGCCCCAACTCTTTACTGTTTCACTGTCTCTACCATACTGGTGTCCAGGACATGAACCTCTGGGGGCAGGCCATATCCAAACCCTAGCAGAAATACTTTTTTTGTAAATGTCTAGTAGAGCATTTAGATAAGAGGAATTGAAACTAAAGCATAGGACTGAACAAAAACTCTAAATTAGGAACTTGCTTGTATAGTTTAAACCACAGGTAAAGTGTCTTTGGAAGACTAATAGGAAGAAAACCAATGGGGACAAGAACTAAAGCAAAAAACAAAAATTAGTATTAAGAATAGAATCAATGAACTGGATCTTCTAAGTGTGTGGCTTTAGAAATAGTCTGATTTATAGGTTGTTACTTGAGAACTAGTGTAGAGAGTTAGATCATGGTGCAGTTACTGTTGGGAAGATGTTGCCCACCTGGTCCCCTGATTATAGAAAAGGTCAAGTTATGGATGATATTGACTTGACCGGTTCTTAAGCTAGAGGTGAGGTAGGCTTGGGAAGTTGTGGTTTTCTTTTCTTTCTCTCTCTCTCTCTCTCTCTCTCTCTCTCTCTTTTGCATTTTAATCATTAAAGAATTTATGTGCATCTAGATAAGTACAAGATAATTTTATCCAGGTAAAACTACTATCTGGTGAGAGGCCTGCCTGCTGTCACATCACACAGGGAGGGTAGACAGAGGACACTATGCATGTTTGCGGTGGGTAGGTTACAGAAGACACCCAGAGGACCACCAGATGCATGTCCTGCCTGCAGCGATGTGCACATATGTGACAGACTGATGGGAGAGAAAGAAAAATGGAATGGTTGGAGCTTTAGGGAGAGAGGCAGAACTGGAGGTTCGAGGGTGAAGAGAAGAGCCTGAAAGGAGTAGCCTGCCCTGTCACCTGAGGCCATGGTGAAGTCCCAGCCCCTGCTGCCACTAAGGGCCATGTCTAGTTTCGTGGACATGAAGCAACAGGGGTCTGTGTCAATGTTCATGGCTCATATTAACACCAAAGACCATGCGAATGTTCCTGGTCTGGGCTGCTGCCTGGGACCATGTTGATGTCCAAATGCTGTGCAGAGTTGGCCTTGCCCCTTACTGGCTGCAGCAGTCTGAAGAGGAGGCCTTGCACCCTGTCTAGGCAGCACAATAAAGCTGACTATGGTTGTGGGAGCATGGGTGAGCCAGGAGAGCTGACCCAGCCTCTTGCTGGCTGTGGCATTAATTAGACGAGCTAGTCGGGACAGTGCTAGAGAGCTTGCTCTGGTAGTGTGGGTGCCGAAAAGCTGGTGGGCTGACCAACTCAGCTGCCACCCAGGCCCAGATCCAGAGCTTTGAGTTGGCACACACCAACATCTACACCATTGATAACTGTTGGATCATGTGAAGGGGCCGGTCCTACAGGTCCAAAGCTGCAGGGTCTTCGTGAGACAGGGCAACAACAGGATATCTGAAAGAAGTCCCCAGTGAGGATCCAGTATTGAATCCTCACCAAAGCCAGAAGCCTTGAACCAGATCAGTGACTCATTGCAGTGACCATTTGCCAGTAAAGAAGTGTGGACAAAAGGGTACACTGTGTGACACACCAGCTTCCATGACAAGATTTGTTGTTATTTTGTTTATTTTTATTTTTAATTTTCTTTTTGGGGAGAGGTTGCAAGGGCAGAGGGTAGATATGAAGTGATGGGGAGATTAGTGGGATTTGGGGCATGATGTGAAATTCTCAAAGTTAAAAATTCACTGTCTGTACCTATCTACAGTATATGTGTAATATATATATATATATATATATATATATACACATTTATACACACAGTTCCAGAGTTTACACTGAATGGGATAATGCATGTATGCTGTAACTGGCCTTGTTTTACTTGATAATTTATCATCTTCCCATAAAATCAGATGACATTTTGTAACATTAAAACCAAAAACCCTTGATATCAGTTTCCAGCACTGTCTTCAAGGCCTTTCCTAGGCTTGTGCAAACATATTAATGATGTCTGTTAATCTGAACTCACTTGCAGCATTCTGCCATCTGCTTCTTCACTCGTGTGTATTATTCAAACTTCTTGTTTCCCACAGTTGACTAATAAGTGAATTTATTTAAATTAAGGAACTTATAGATTAGTTTTTATTTTTACTTCAGTGACTAGTCTTGCATTATATTTGTGAATTTTGTGGAAGCATGGATGCAGAGAGATTTTGAGATGTGAAGTTGCAAGATTGGAAGTGTGCATATTTGTTCAGCGCCATGCATCTCTGTTGTTTGTGTTTTGTTTTGTTATAGCCCTGGCTGTCCTGGATGTACTTTGTAGACCAGGTGGCCTTTACCTTATAGAGATCCACCTGCTTGTGCATTCCAAGAACTGAAATTAAAGGCGTGCACAACCACTGCTCAGCTATTCTTTGTTCTTTAGAGTTGTTTCTCTGGTTGTTTTCATGTCTTCTTATGAATTTTGTGATTTCTTTCTTCTATATGTATATGTACCATTATTTGTATTAAGTATTTTTTTTCCGTGATAAACATGGCTTTCGTGCTGTGCCTCAGGAGATTTACTTTATTAGTGGTGTTTTAAATTTTTTGTCTTTTTCTTGAGCTCTAGCCATTCCACTTCTGCTTGGCTTGTCTCTTACCACTTTCTATCTTTTAAAGTAAGTTCTCTTTTATTTCTTTGTTGTAACTGTCATTCCTTGCTTAGAATTCTTCTTTATTCATCCAGAATTGGACATAAGCAGGTGTTCAGTGTGAAGCTTGTCCTGATGGTACTTTAAGGGAAGATGCTTTTGCACTTGTGCCATCGTAAACTAGAGTCTTCCTAGGTCTGCAGAGTGAGGGATTCCTCTCTTGCTGTTTCTCTTGGTTGTCTTTGTATTTCTAAAGGTTGTTTTTCCCCCCACTTTCTTAGAAGAGTGCCCTGTCATTCCATACTGATTTTTTTTTTTTTTAACATTAAACAGATACTCTTGTAAGGTATTTGGCTTAAGTTAAATATAAAGCGGTATGCCTCCATGCTGTCTGCCATGATGGTAGTGGACTAACCTCTGAAACTGTAAGCAAGCCCTCAATTAAATTCTTTCTCTTATAAGAGTGCCTTTAGGGCTGGAGAGATGGCTCAGTGATCAAGAGCATTGACTGTTCTTCCAGAGGACCTGGGTTCAGTTCCCAGCACCCACATAGCAGCTTACAGCTGTCTGTAACTCCAAGATCTGACACCTTCATACAGGCATGCGTGCAGGCAAGACACAAATGCACTTAAATAAAAATAAGTAAATTATTAAAAAAAAAAAAAAGAGTTGCCTTGGTCATGGTGCCTTTTCACAGCAGTAGAACACTGACTAAGAGAGATGATGTATGATAAACACTCACATCTCAATTTTATCTCTGGTAAAAGTATGGAAATAGACTATGGAATTAGAACTTTACTAAAATTTAGCCCCCCCCCTTTTTTTAAGAATTCAGTTCTCTGCTTCTACTCTTTACTGTAATCAAACATTTCTCTACAAGGCTTTGGATGTAATAGGTCCATTGTTGTCTCCTTGCCCTTTGTATGTGACACAAGTAGACCTTAAATGAATGGGCAGCACTCTATACTAAGAAATAGCAGTTGGCTGGCTGCTTAATGTTCTGAGTTGGTTGTAGTTCCCCAAAATTTTGATGAAAGCATCATCAAAAAATTCAGTGTTAGTTAGAGAGTTTTATATGTGATGTGTATGATTCTACTGATTTTTTTCTGAATTCAAGACATCGGTACACTCTTAAACTTCCATATAAGGATTTTGTTTTTTGTACATGTGTAATTTTATAGTATATGTACAGATTTCACATTCTCATTTGTGTAGTTTTATAGCCTTTTGTTGAAGGGGTAATAATGTCTGCAGCATTTAGCTGACTCTGGGGTAGAGAAATAGATTCCTTTTGTGGTGGTGTCCAAGTTGATAAACCATTTCCCAGCAATCTTCGTTGAGAGGGGCAGTATGATTGAAAGTAATAACAAACTATAATTATGAGTCTAAAGACTTTCATAATGCCTGTGTATCTTATTAAGGTAGCCATATTCTTCTATTTTTCACACCCCTCTCCACAAACACATATATGGTTGCTAAATAAGCTTTTAGGTCTCAGTGTTGGTGTACATATTTTTCTTTAAATGCCTACATTTGAAGAAATTACTTAGTGTAAAATGCTTGAATCACAAAGATGAGTAAATAACTTGTTTTCTTTTACTATGTCTTCTTTAGGTGTTTGTGGATTTACTCTCCAGTGATTACATACTGCAGTAATACAATTATGGCAGCTTTCCAGCCTTTCAAGAATAGTCATGTAAAAAATAAAGCATCTGTTCGAAAAGTAAGTCCATTGGATTAGGTTCTTTTTCAGTGAAACTTTTAAAAACGTCGGTTTTTTTTTTTTTAGAGTTTTTAAATGAATCAGTATTTAAATTATAACCTTAAAATACTGCAAAGATGATTGTATACAAAAGTAGTGATGTGAAGTCATGATTGTAATGATATTAGTCCCTAAAACCTTACTTCTCAGAGCACAGTACCTCTTTCCCATTTCTTCACAGATCTTTTCCATCTGTTTGGGTTTTTGTTTTTGTTTTTTTGAGTAAATTATCTTACACACCTTTAGCATTACCTTAAAGATATATAAGAAATATTAAATACTCATTTATTCAGCATAAATGAATTTAAATGCTTATTATATGTTAGGACTATGCTAGATGTTGAATAACTAGTGAGCAAATTAAAAATTACTTTTCTTCTGTGTGTGGTGCTATGGATTGAACTCCAGGCCTTGTACATGCTAGATGAAGTGCTGAGGTACTGTATTCCTAGCCCCCACTTCACACCTCTTTCTGCTTTAACTTACTTTGATGTAAGGTGTCAGTATATTATCTAGGCTGGCTTTGAAGTAGCTTTGTATTCTAGATAGGCCTTGAGCTCCTACCTTATCCTCCCAAGTAGCCAGGATTACAATCCAGTACTAATAGCCTTGGTCATTCTTTCTTCTCATGTCACTGTTGACGTTGCTCATGAAGACTAGCTTTGAGTTTCACGAAGGTGTTTTCCATTCTGTTTTGATAGCTCTTTTCTCTCTTGACAGTGATTACAAAGGGAGAAGGTAATTCATGTAAGGTAAATGAGGATGGGTAAAAGTTAAGGCTTTTTTATGACGAGTTGTCAGCTTTATGGACTCTCTGACTTGTATAATAGTCACTTACTATGGTGACAAGTACATTATTTGCCCTTATTCATTTATTATTGTTTTGTATTCCTCAAAGTTTTTTTTTATAATTCTGTACTTTACAGAGTTTTATTTGTAGTGATTTTTTGCCTAGAAACATCATTTGCTCTAGAGTGTCATGAGTTCATATTGTTAGCTCAAGTCCACATTTATATTTTTTCCTTTTTGTATTCACAAATTAGTGTGAAATCCTCAATTCATTAATGGAAACAAAACTGTAAATACTGGGTGTTTTAAAGCCTGCTGAATAGATGGAAAAAAAAACTCAAAGCAAGGAGAAATTCATGAATTTTTTACTTGGATTCACCTTCTGAAAGCATCTTCCCATTCCCATTTTCTTCTCTATTTACACCTGTTTCCCTTTATAATGGTGTGAGAAGTACCCTTTGGTTCTTGTTTTATATGTTGGTGTGATTATCACTCCTAAGAAAACTATTCATCTGTATCTTCATCTGACATGTAGTCTGACAAATTCCTCCCCAGTTGTCTCAAATACAACCTTGAAACTTTTTCTTTTTTTTCTTATCTAGAGCATATTCAAGATATTTTGCATACTGCATGAGTATTTTGGTTACCTCATTCTAGACCATTCCAGTGGTCTAGATTCTTTTCTCATGACACCATATATTTGGAAAAATCTGAGCTAGTTATTTTGTAGAACATCCCAAGTTGGTTTTCACTGTGTTTACCAGGAACACCTCAATGGCCTCATTTTCTTTGTTGCGCTCTGTTAGGTCAAGAGAAGTATATCGTCAGTGTTTTGAGGAAGTGGTCACGGTTTAACATCTGCTGTCTCCAATATAAATGCAGAACAGGGCTGGAGAGATGGCTCAGAAGTTAAGGACACTGGTTGTTCCTCCAGAGGTCCTGAGTTCAATTCCCAGCAACCACATGATGGCTCACAACCATTTAGAATGAGATCTGGTGCCGCCTTCTGGCCTTCAGGCATATATGCAGGCAGGATACTATATACATAATAAATAAATCTTTAAAAAAATAAAAAATAAATGCAGAATAACTTTGATTAAATGCTTAGTAAGGACACTATGTAGAGATAGTGTAAGAAATATGAGTAGCTTATCTTCCAATAGCCTTTAACCCAGTGGATTTAGGATACATTGGTAATTCTTTCCAAATCAGAAATTATGTGGAGTTACAATGAGCATTTTTCTAATGGAATCAGTTCATCCATATTTGCCAACCATAATCATAGGGAAAGAAGAGAGCCATATGACTGAATTCAGGAGTTATGATGTGTCACCATTTTTTGTTCTTTTTGATGCCCTGATTATTCCGGATTTAGCCAATGGGGATTCCTGGCTACTGCAGTGACTTCTGTGCTCTTTTGAAGTCGCCCAATTAGTCTTTGAGCACCTCCTGCATTCTGGCACAGTTAGATGGTCCTGCTTCTTTTGTACAGTTCTCTGTCCGGGATGTGGAACCAGACATTTTTCTGGGGAGCTCTGGTTCTTTTAATTGATGATTGACATTTAGAAAACAAAAGCTGGGCATGGGATCTGCTCATTGGTACTTGGGGGTTAGTTAGCAATTGTTTGTTGACATCATGTAAAATGTGAGGAGATAAACTGAATGGAACATAGTTTTCATGATTTGTTTCAATGGGTAGAAAAGATATATATATGAGAGTATTGTAATCATAATATAATATAGATCAAGCGACCTTAATCTGCAAACAATATAAAAGAAAATTAGACTAAAGGGTGTGGAAAATCTTTGGTCTCTTGATGTGAATAGGGTTACTGTGGGCTAGGACTGTGAAGTAAGGCATTCCCATAGGTTAGAAGAGCAAGTCATGTATCAGAAGAGAAATAATAGAGTCAGTGAGAAGTTAGTGTTGCCTTCTGTCTGACTACTTTCTGCCAGTCTACTTTGCATTTATGACAATTTCATTTCTACGACATGGAATTTCTTACCTTATTTTCATCATATAGTTGCTTTATGACTGTTGGAAAATCTTATTTTTAGTTACTGTCTTTTTTCTTTGTTTTTTTAAGGGAAGAATAATTGATGCTAATTTGCCTTTTTCTAGCTCCTACACCATCTCACTTATAATGTGAATTGTTTCTGTTCTGCTAGTGACTTGTAAATAAAATACGCAGTTTGTTGATTTTAGTGTAACACAGTAGTTCTCAGCCTGTTGATCACAACCCCTTTGGGGGAATCACATATTAAATATCCTGCATATCAGATATCACATTATAATTCATAACAGTAGCAAAATTACAGTTATGAAATAACAATGAAATAATTTTATGGTTGGGCATCACCACAACAGGAGTAACTGTATTAAAAGGTTGCAACATTAGGAAGGTTGAGAACCACTGGTGTGAGGTAAGTGTAAGTAAATCTATAGCATACGGTCTGTATAGCCATTTAGTAATTTGACTTTTCTTCTCAGCTGAATAGAGCTCTGCAAATAATATGAGAAAATATTAATTGGAGAATTAGTAGCTGGAAAACTCAAATGTCTGCAAGCTCTCCTACTGTTGGAATGAAATTGTTTTGTTTATTTATTTCCCAGAACTTCAGCGAAGATGTGTTTCAGTCTGTAAAGTCTTTGCTACAGAGTGAGAAGGAGCTATGCAGTGTATCAGGAGGAGAGTGTTTAAACCAGGACGAACATACCCAGTTAACTGAGGTTTGGCTTACGACTTTCTAAATCCTTCGCAGTCAAGCACAGTATGCTTTCATGTCCCGTTGTAGGACTTCAGGGTTGATTTAAAAAGCTGCACACAGTACTAACACAGACACTGGGAGACAGTTGGTTTCTTTGAGGGTGTGACCTGGTAAGTTGACCGTGCTCTGAGGAAGGCCTCATACCTGACAAGATTTGGGCAACACAAGTTGGACATAATTTTTTTTTTAAAGAGACCACAAAGTTGGGTGGGTAGGGGGTTGGGAGTGATTCTGGGATAAATTGGGGAAAGTGAATATGATCAAAATACATTCTATGAAATTCTTAAGCAATTAATAAAGATGTTATTTAAAAAGTACCTATTTTATTTTATGTTTTTACATTTTTTATTTTTATTATTAGTTACATTTTATTAACTGTATTCCAGCTGTATCCCACTCCCTCATTCCCACCGAATTTCACCCTCACTCCCTCATCTCCTCCCTGCCCCTTTCCAAGTCCACTGATAGAGGAAGACCTCCTCTTCTTTCATCTGACCTTGTTTTATTAGGTATCTTCAGGACTGGCTGCAAAGTCCTCCTCTGTGGCCTAGCAGGGCTGCTCCTCCCTTGGGGGGTGGGGAGGTAAAAAACCCTGCCATTGAGTTCTCTTTTTAAATAGTAGCTAATATCATTGGCCAACTGTTGATATCAGCCTGTTTATAAGAATACAGGTGTTACTGGCCTCTCACTGGGCAGGTATGGATTATTCAGTAACTGCTACGTTAATACTAAGTTTCTTTTATTCTGAAACAGTAAAAATTGCACTTGTTTCATGTAGTCATTTTTTAAGTCCTTTTCTTGACCATCTCAGTGCTTTGATTTAAAGTGTAAAATTTATCTTTGGAATTAACATATACATATATATGAATATATATATGTGTGTGTGTATATGCATATGTCACCTGTTTCTCTAAAATAGCTATTGTTTTTCATTTGAATTTATTGCTATTCAAAGGAATGATATTTTTAAAGTATCTGTATTCCTTTTTATTTTTTTACAAAGTAACAGTATGGTATTGGGGGCTGAAGTATAGTTTTAGGAGAGATCTTTGCCTAGCCTGTGCAAAGCCCCAGGTTTAGTACCCCAGCTCAAAAAATGTTATATTAGGTTTTCACAGCTTAAAATTGGTATGCGTACTTAAGCGCAGTCATTTTTGAAGCAATGTTTCTAACAGACCTCGATTTCTTACTTGGGAGTGGGAGGTCCTATTCCTTGAGGAATTCTTTCTGTGACATCATTCTCTAGAAAGAGGAGTGTCCCTGTTGGGTGAGGAACACTCTGCCACCTTAATCTCTCTAGTTCATTGTTGTGGCACGTGATTTGTCCTCTCTGCCTCCCTCCTTCACTTTATCTCAGTTGTTGTCATTCATGATAGCCCCTGCCCCACCCTCAGTTTTGTAACCCACATCCCCAGTTGTCCACATGCTGTTCTTCCAGCCTCTTCCTGTGACAGCTTCAGACCACCAGGAGGAGCAGGCTCCCTTGGTACCTCCAGGACCCAAGGTCAGCCTAGTTTTCTCTTTTGTGTCCAACAAGGAAACTGGAAAAGATAGAAGAGATTTCTGTCCCACTTTAGGGTATGCATATCTCACATATCTGAGTTTTGGTCAGTTTTTTGTTTGTTTGTTTTGTTTTTTCTTCCCAGGGTACTGATTCATTTTAAGGCAAGTATGTCAGCATATTAGAAGTACTACTCAGCTTGGCAATGGCTGACTTAAAAAGCTTTGTTGTTGTTGCTTTAAATTTTCTTATAGGTATATATTGTATATCAGATCTGTTCCCATATGCCCTAAGACCCTCACCTTCCAGTTTTACATTCCCTTCTCTCGTGTTAGTCCCTGTTCCTCTAGACCATTTTGTTTCTCCTTTTATTTAATACATAAATACAGGCCTTTATTTGATTGTATAAAATCAGGGATCTTAAATATCTGTTTGAATAAAGGAAAGAAATTAGTGCCTATGTTTTAGGGAGGGAAGCTCTATTTTTTGGAAATGTTATGAAGAGACAAGCTTGTATTGGTTAACAGTTTACTAGATGCCTGGAGGGTACCTAGCACTCTACTGAATTAGTAACCATAATTAATTAGAGTAAAGTGCCAGGGTAATTTTAGATTCTGACTAGTTTCTGAGTCAGAAGAATCAAAGTGTATTCAATGTAGTCTTATATGTTAACCATTCCATTTCTCTCCAGTACTTTAATTGCTGTTATTTAAGATTTTGTATTTCTAGACATAGCACTTATTTGGTAGATGATTTATTTATTTTTTCAAAAGGAAAGGGGCTAGTATGATAACAGACATAAATATAAATTAAAAAAATAGCTTTTCAGTCTGTGTTCTTTGTAGAAAGGCGCGAGAACTAGAGATCTAATTGGGAAGAAGTGCACAAAGGGCAGAAGCACAGGGAAATGAGTCATGTGAGAATTCCCAGTTAATCACTGCTAAATATTTTGGTGTATTACTTTTCAATATTATTTTTCATGCATATGTTTTTAAGAATAAGGAAGAAGTTATGTGCATGTCACATATTTTTGTAACTTTTTCTTTTTACTTAAAGAGTTCTTCATGCCATTAGAGGAACCATAGATACATGATTTCTATAAACTTGTGTAGGGAGTAGTATCTCTGTAAGAGTGTTGAAGGGAATATTTGTAGAATCATAGCTAGTGAGGAAGGGACATGGGAGATCTACACAGGGAAGGTCTCTCTAAAAAGGCTGCTGGAACTTGTAGGAACTTGCAGAATGAAGAGGAGCCAGGCCTAGAAGTGTCTGAGGAAAAGAGATTCATATCAAGGGGACACAGTTGCAGGAGCCTTAAGTAGTCATGGTCAGGGCATGTGCTGGACCTAGGAAGGGGTCCCATGGGTTTGAATGAAGTGAGGGCAGGCTGAAGTCATCTGCTAACACCCTGGGAAGCATGGACAAATGGCATGGCAGGGGACAGACACAGGGATAGTGGAGTATGAGGGCATGGAAATGAGAATGGGGATGAGTAAGGTTGCTTAGCTATGCTTTGAGGCTGAAGTTGGGCGAGTTAGCAGGAGGGAAAGATGTACGAGGTAGATGAGGTTCAAGAACTACAGCATGGTGGAAGCCGTGGTCACTGGAAACACTGCCTGCCCAGTGCGCTGAGCACCACGCTAACTATGCTTTGTCAACGCTCTGAGACAAGACTTTAAAAAAGTAAATTAATGGAGTTTTTTCCCCCTTTTCCTTTTTAATTATTCCTTCCTTCCTTCCTTCCTTCCTTCCTTCCTTCCTTCCTTCCTTC